ATTCCTGCTATTCTGCGATCCCCTAATGCAATATAGGCTGTCAGGAAGGGCTGTGAATGGCATTCAGAAAAGGCTTGGGTCCCATCCCTGGTACTGAATACAGCCAGCTAGGTAGCTTTAGGCACCTCACTTCTGTCCACTACTGCCTCAGATTGTCTCTAGGCAGAACGTGCAGAGAATGGTCTAGATCTCCCTTATCAAGCACTCAGAGTTGCTCTGTAAGCAGTATGCTTTCTCCATAATCCACAACTCATTAGCAAGCAAGTATTCTGCCCTAATCTTCTGGGTCTTTGCTTTCAAGATCTATTTGCTTATATTATGAATAATGCAGACTCCTCACATAATTAGAGGAAAAAAAATTACATATGATTGTGAGGCATGCACAATACGGCACAGGCTTTATAATTTAAATAGCATAAACTTTGTTCTTACCAGAATGGAGATTATTCCTTTATATTTCTGCTCAACCAAGTCACAGATGATCTTGTTGTTAAAATATGGAATTGCTTCCCACTGGAATTAGGAAGAGAAAGGAAGAAGAGTTTTAGAGAAGCTCTTTTCCTGTGCAATTTTTCTGTTTTTTGGAGCTAGGTTCTCTGGTCCTATTGAAGACTAGCGTAGGGAATTAAAACTATCCAGGCTGCTGGAGGAAAGATGACAGAATAGCGAATCACCTGACCACACAGTGTTCCCCCTTTCAGCAGCCCAGACCATTCCCTTATTCCCTACAGTAGTGCACTCAATCCTTCAGTGCCTTTTGCACTGCAGATCTCTTATTTCTAGAGGGACATTTTCACTACTAACCTTCTGAGTTTTGGGAAATGGCCTGTTCCTTTCTTAGATAGCGTAAATTAAGTTCAGGCTAAGCTACATTGGAAAAAAAGGGCTACAAAATAAGATCCACAGTCATCTTGTACTTCCCAGCTTAATAATGCAAAGATGAACTGTCCAGATTTGGAAATCAAAGGGTCTGCTGGGCAGAAAGAGCTCAAGGCCTGCTGAAGCAGAATAGACTCACATAGGAAGTAGTCTTTAAAATGGAAATATAAATATACACAGAGGATAGTTTTACACTTAGGCAGAAGGGAACAGGGCAAATAAAAAATAAGATGTCATTTTCATCGACGATCAACAGCATTCAGCATAATGGCTGGTCAAAGGGAAAAAGGGAATAATAAATTACCTCTATTCCTTCCTGTTCGTATTCTTCCTGCTCTGCTTTCAAGGTCATCTCGATCAACAGCTGCTGAAGCTTCTCATTGCAGTAATTAATGCAGAACTGCTCAAAGCTTCACAGAGGGGTTAAATGAGCATTAGTCTCCAAGTATTTCATGGGCATAGTTTTATTCCTTCCCCTGCCCGCCACCCACTCTTTTCCAATCAAATAGACCACTTCTATACAGATTAAACCCCACAATGTTTTATAAAGAGAGCTAAAGGATTTTTTTAAGCACCTCCTCCCTTTTCCCTACCTACCCCCTAAAGCTGTCACCAGATTAGAGAGCTCTGAAAAAAAACTGCGGTCAGGCCCATCTTCCTCTCTGACAGACATGAACCTTTTCAGCTATGCTGCAATCCTGAAGTCCCAGCACCTTCCCAGGATGCTGGGCCAGATATCAGAGAGCTCATTCAAGTCAGAAATACCAAAAACGTTGGCAGCTGATATTGCTGGCATTTCTGTGCTACTCTTTCGCCAGAAATCCTCAAGACAGGCAGAACTGGGTTTGACCGAAGAAAGCTACTTTCTGTGTATTTGTGGCTTTCAAAGCTTTAAAGCTTCCTCATTTAACAGTGCTTATATTGCATACATTCTTTCTACACTGTTGTACCAGTGGCTCAAATTCAGGCAAGGAATCTGAGCTAAAGCTTTCATCATGGAGCTGAGCTAACTTGGTGCATTTCAGATTATGCACTCACCCGTAGCTTGTCTTGCTGGGGTAAGACTAAGCTCAAGAAATCATGTAGTACTTCAACACACGCTCACACCAGCACGAGGACAGATTACTCCAGCCCCAGGAGCTCTTACCTGTTTGTGTCCAGTACTTCAAACCCATAGATATCCAGCAGGCCAATAACAGTTTTCCGGGTTGAATCCTGTCAAAGACACCATTTTTCCTTAGTGAGTTGCTGCTTTAACTGATGTTCCTTCCCTGCGTGTTTCATATCATTTTCTTCACTTTCAAATTTAATCTCTTAACTGTCCTTCTTCTGACAGCTTCACGTCACATGCCAATAGAGTAACCACATTCAAGCACGTAATGCACTGCCCAGGCTATTTAACATATCATCGCCCACATTCCACACCTAACTAAACAGTTTTCCAACTCAGTGCTCTGGGACGCCCCTGCATCAACTACCAAGTGTTCAAGATATTTGGTGATGAATGCTGCCAGGCCTCATTCCAGAAAGACTACTCAGTGTGTTAGAAGTACATAGGACACTAGACAAGAAACCAACCTTGTTGGCTAGAGAGCCATTAATTTTGTTGACCAGCCAAGTGAAAGTCCGCCCATAAATCGCTTTTGCTACTGCATCCCGAGCATAGAAAGCCAGGTCCACATTCAGTGGGCTTAGGACCTAGAAAAAATTAAGGTATGCCAGACACGATAAATAACATAGCTAATCAGAATCAACTTCTGCAAATACAGTTCCCAGTTCTGGACTGTAGAATAAGCAGTCATTGTATTCCGCAGCACAGTGTTCAGTCTATTTGAACTGTAACTATCCACAGCTTTATTTAGCATCAGTGTTACTGCAGCCTGGTGTATCTCCAGCCTTAGGCCTCTTCTCAATCCCACTAGGAAAGTTTGCACTTGGGTCCTAACACATGATGGCTGTGAACACCTCCCACTCAATTGTCCATACAAAGCCGTTTTGACTGGGTCAGAGATTAGTTCTTAGTCCATTTTTTTCAGAACTTCACAGATTACTTTAGATCCCATTCTTTGTGGGCAAAAGTTCACCAAGCAAGTAATAGGAGTCAACGTTTGTCCTTAAAGGATTAAAAAAAAATGTTAACATTTCAGCTGAGGAAACTTTTACCAGTGCCTATGGACCTCCATATGACACACAAATGGAAGACAGGAAGGCAGCCATGTGCTAGCAGGATTGATTGGAGACTACCAAATTTAGGAAGGCAGGAAGAAGTCTTCTGATTTCCATTTATTTCTTTTTTTTCCCCCCCTCCTCCTTCTCCTAAGTTTATTATAAAATGCTCAAAGAACAGTTTATATCAGTGCTTTCCTGTGTTTATGCAGCCCAGTTTCCCAGAAAGCACTCCAGGGACTACAGGAAAAAAAAAAAAATTTTGGCTCAAACACATGGCTACCTGCAAGTCTCCCATTCCTGATTTTTTAATAGTTATTACCTCATTCAGCAATAAAAACTCTAATACTGGGAATTTTTTTTTAGTTTAAAGTCTCAAGCTAACAGAGCAAGGTAATATGGATGAAGAAAAAGATATCCATAGTGGTCTGTTTTTACTGTGACACTTAAGAACAGAGCTCCTCATCTGCCAAGACGAGACTGGCTTCCAGCTGGCAGGAGTTACACTGGTCTAGTAAATACCTCCTCAGATCTGGCTTCAATCTTCCGATGGGTGAGAGCTTCCTGCAGAATCGACAAGTGCACACCCAGTAGCTGCAGAGAAAGAAATACCTGTGCTCAAAATATGACCAGCAGTCTCCTGCTTAAACAAGTAGCGTTGTGTGAGGAGGAAATGGTTTTCCTATGAACTAAAAAAACACTTTTCTGTGAAGGCTTGACCACCCATTATCCATTCCCATTCATTTCTGGAAGGTAACAGCATTTGCAGATCCCAGTTACGCTCACCACTGAGCAACATTAAGCAAGAAAATTTCAGAGAGATGCTGATGCTCATCCAAGTGTTCTCTCACTTTGGGCTATGGAAAAAAGGGGCCCTACAACTCAAGATAATTTATAGCAAGAGCTGGGTGTTTATACAGCAGTCATTCTGCTTCTGGGAACAGATTTTATTTATTTATTTTTTTCCTTCATGAGGAGACAAAGAAACAGCAAGATCAAGGCTTTCTTAGTAGCACTTGTATGTGAGAGGAGAGAGATACCTTTGAGATCCATTTGATCTGAGTGCCATTGCGAATGATGGCATGTCCATTGCTGTCTTCTTCAAACTGAATGTTCCCGAAGTGCAGGACACTGGCAACAATTCCAAAGAGATGCTAATAACAAGAGATGGAATATTAGGAAATATTTTCCTACAGCTATGTGGGATGGTATTGATCTTCACTGTTCATGCTGATAAAGCGTGGCTAGGCTGAAGGAACTGAATCGGATAACTTGTTTCAGATACATGCTACCATCAATTGCCATCAGGCTGTATCACGCAGTAGAGCTCTTCACCCACCCGCTCCACACCCCCTCAAAAAGGCTGTGCAATTCCATTCTTAACACCTCTCCCAAGCAAGGGTGTTTCCATCACTTTCAGAGAGAAACAGCAGTGCTTTCCTTACTTAAATCCACTTCGGTAGGCTCAGTCCCCTTAAATGTGTATACCTCTATATCTTTTTCAGTGAAGTCAATGATAGAAAAAGCTTTGCGGACTATTTTCCAGTCACTCTTGTCGTTAATAGAAAACACTTTGGCACATCGACCCTATACAGTAAAAGAAAGGTAATTAGTACAATTCACTGGTAAAGCAATTGTATCATCAACGCAATCTAGCGCAATCCAGCCTGAGCGTAACACTTTCTTCTCCAATCGCCTCAGCTTGTGTAGCTGCAGTTTGCAACTGGTTAGCTATAGCAATTGCTTTCACTTCTGCTAATCCAGAACGTGACTCATTTGAACAGGTCTTTGAGTAACAACTACTTAAAATATGGAGTCTGGATAGTGATTACTATAAAATGGCTAAACTTTGTGAAGAGCTTGTGCTTAAAGTCATATACTGTGTTTATAACAACAATATCTTTTGTCCAAATATTCTTCTTCACCATGGAAGAAAAGAAACTCTTTGACAACACTACTATGAACTGTATACTGCATTTTATGAACCTGTACAATATGAATGAAAGCATAAGTCCTGAGAAACTCATTTTATACCAAATTCTTATAAAGGACCTTTAGAAGAGGTGCCTTTATACAAAGCATAACTTGCTGTCATAAAAAAGTGATTTTTTTTATTCTGCTGGCCTTGCTGTCACTGGGCCATGTTGGCCAAAAGCTTGTTTCTATCCCCACAGCTATATCAGTGGATCCAATGAAAAATATTATCCCTTATAAGCCATTTACCACTTGCATCCTTAGCCTGCCACGGCTTGAACAGTTCCTACAAAAATAACCAGGGTAGAATGGTGTGCAACCACCCTAGAGCAAACATTTTTGCAAGCTATCTGTCTGCAAGTTTCACTATAATACAATGCACGGTGGGTTCTCTTAGCAGTTCAGCAGTACATAGTCTTAACGAGCAAAGAAAACTGCATTTTCACATCCCTGCAGTTCCAGATGTACAATGCAGAGACAGGGACAAATTCTCACTAACCTGTATGAGATAAGAGTACTTCTGGGGGTTGCGCTCCAGCCCAAGCCAGCAAAGAAGATCCTTGTCTCCACCCTCCAATAACTGGTAGAAAATATGGAAATTCCTCTCTCCATGGTTTTGATGGACAACTCGAGATTTCTCAATTAGGTAACTGAGGATATGCCCCCCCACTGGAGCTCCCTAGGAAAATAAAGTAACCAGAGCAACACCAAAAAATATAAAAAACATCACTGTGATGACTCTTTCTCCACACCTAGGAACAATATGCGGTATCCAAGGAGTTTGCTGTCCTTCTAATGTAACTTGTGCCTTAGAGCAATCTGTATTAGTTTTCCACTGAGTACAGGCAGTGCTGCCAGTAACACAGAAAGCTTTTGGGATATATAACTAGCCACCTCGCTCCACAGAATGCAAGACCCGCAAAAACGAGGCCAGAAATTTGCAGTGTAAGTCACCCTTAATCAATAAATCTTATGCTGCCTGGTAAGTGTCTAAGAGGTTCACTGATACAGCTTGTTTTAATAACGGTCCATTAACTTTGTCCTCACCTTAAAATCAAATTGGATATCCATGTATTTCCCAAATCTACTTGAGTTGTCATTACGCAGAGTTTTCGCATTTCCAAAAGCCTACGGATAAATAGATAAATCAAGTCACTTCTCATTTTACTGAGAACCCAACATCCAAGACAGGATAAAGTTCTTGTAACAAAGACTTGCTGCATCAGCTGAGTCCTAGTACAGAATCCAGTGGGATTAAAGAACTATAAACTAATATATTTCTCTAGCTTTAATCTGGAATTCAGCTATGCACATCATGGCTCTTTTTGGTATCATCTGTAACTGAAGCCACGAGGAATTGGTATACGGTATACAGATTCCTTGTATATAATAACTTCCTCTCAGTTTCAGCTATTTTACAGACCAGCCTTGCAATTTGTGAAACTGTATTTTTATTTTTATGCTCCTTTCACTAAATTGCCTTTCTAAAGCTCTGCCCATACATTCCACTGAGTGGTATCCATCCGCTCACATGCCACATATTCTACACTTTCAGCTGTACTTCCAAGAACCAACAGGCAAAGACATGTATGTATCTAGGGCTTACATTAAGTTATTGTCACTCTTGATAAGGAACATTTCAGTCAACAGTCTAAGATACATGGTCGTAGGGGACCAGCCAAAGAACAAATATCGACAAGTCAGTCTGTGCTGGCATCCTCTTCCCAACCAGAGAGCTCTGACCACTTAGGGCAGGGTTTTGGCAATAGCTGCCTTCAGCACAGCTACTCACCTTTCTGTACGTTAAGCTTCTAATGGGACAGGCACAGGTTCTCAAAGAAGTTTCAGTCATTTGTACATGCATATTTCTTTAAGTGAACTCTGCCATTTCCTATTTCTTTCGTGGAACCTGTTAATTAAACCCTGTTTATATAGCATTTGCCTTATGGGAAAGGATGAACTATTTTAACAGTAGGGGAAGACATGGCACCATAAAACCCTCCAGCAGAAAAACAAGTTTGAATTCCTAAACATTCAGTGATATTAAATCCTAAGTGTTCTATCAGAGGCTGTGCTACCAAGAGGCTGAATTTCTGTTCCCTGCAAGCACAAAACAATGTGAAATTGGAGGCCATCTGTGGGGGCAAGCGTGTACACACACAAAGATGCCAACACCTCTGCATTGTGAACTTATTTATTTACCTCCAGAACAGGATTGGAAAGTAGCAGACGATCACGGACTATTTGCAGCTGTTCTGTAGTTGGACAGGTTACAGCATAATACTGCAAGATCTTCTTTGAAGCTTCTGTTTTCCCAGCTCCACTCTCCCCAGAGATGAGGATGAAATGATTGTTGTATTCACTGCACATTACCCGGTAGGCATTGTCAGCTATGGCATATCTGCACAAGAATCACAAGAAATATTCAGATGAGAAATCGACATTAGAAATGGTGACAGGAAGCTGAGCATCAGAAGCCTGCAGGTTTTTCCGAAGCGCTGACTCCTTGGCTAACTAACATTACAGGCATTGGACAGGACAAGAAAGCGGTGCTCAGAACAAAAGTCTGTGATTCAAGGTCCCATAGGAAAAAAAAAAAAAAGTGTATATTTGAGGGGCAGACAACACTTGTTCTTTCTCCACTGTTCCTATAGGATTTATGGGCTGCATGTATTTCTGGTGAATATAGTCTACACACACTAGGGACTCCCTCCTCTAAAGCAGACAAGCCAGTTTTGATTTCTGTACAAGAAAAATCTCAACTCCTGCATAAAAACACAGATACAAAGTTAATCAGTAATAGACCCTTCACCAAATATGCCAACAGGGCGGGGAACCAAACCAAACGCCCCCAAACACACCCCACAAAAACACAACAACTTCCTGACACCAGAAGGAGAAACTCTGGCTCAGAATTGTGAGGTTAGTATTTCTTCCCCTTCTGGGAAGTTCAAGTGGAGGCAGCTCACGAGCACTGTGCTTATGTTTCGGTTGCCTGCACTGACACAAGGTCTCAGAGGGCAGGGCAAGACAACTTGAATGTTTTGGACAACTGAAAAGATACTGGACTTGCACATGCACACAGTCAGGCAGTGACCAAACTAGACCATATACATTAAGGAGGACGTACTGAGCGCTAGTCTGGTTAGTAACTTTAAGACTGTATCTCTGAGTCTCTCCCCTACAACTTCCCGGTATCACCTCTGCAACCTTTTGCTCCCCTTTCATTTTCAAGGTCAGCTGCAGGAGAAAGACAAATACTTCCCTACCTACAGAGATATATGAATATCAGCATTCACCAAGCCGAGGGACTCTGGATGCACATCCTTGTTGCTAGTGCATGACATTATAGAGAAAACCCAGGCAGGATATCAATTTATTTTGAAACTCTAGGGGTTCTACTTACAGATGTGGTGGCAGTTCAAAAAAGTTTACCCCTCGATAAAGCTGCATCTGTGTCATTGTGTAGATATCCAGCTCTTTGTAAGGGTTGACAGATACAAGAAGGGTACCGATATATGTCTACAAGGGGAAAAGAATAACAGCTCCTGAAAAAATGAGTCAAGTACATCAGAACAAAAACACACAACCAAGAAAGTTGGCACAGAACTTGTTATGAAACATCCACAGGCTTCACTATTTCCAAGACCCAAAGCCAACACTAAACTTCTTTCAAAACCTACATGGTTAAGAGTGGAGTCAAACAATGAACACAGCCTCACATTAGAGCCTCACATTTTTAATTAAAAGGTTTTGATATCTCATGATGCTTATGGCTTTTTTTTCCTGCTTGGATTAAAATTAATATAATAATGCATTAACTAAACCAGCTCTGTTTTACTAAGTCTTTGGAAATGACCAATAACTAATACTCTGAAGGAAAGCTAAGATACCTATCTATTCCATAGACAGCTGCTGAACAGAGGAAATTTCTTGCTGAGCATGAAAGGCGATCACATAACACATTTTAGGACACAAATTACATTTTCCACAATTTGTACACACTTTCAGCATGCCAAAATAGCCCTGTTCTACCGTCCACACTCTCCTTTAATGCTTTCCATTAGTGTCACACAAATATCAGTCCTTATTTACAAAGTATATGCTTGGAAGCACTATTTATTCCTCCTTCCTCTCTCCCCTCCACCCCAGCTACTGCTGTAAGTCAATACATAACCTTAGGGCTGCTGAGAAAGTGAAGATGGCTATGAAGGATTCTCAGATTACCCTGTGAAGTACTCGGCACTTCTCCGAGAGGTCAGGTACAACATTTCAGTGCTGCCTTGCTTTCAAACACGACATTTCACTTTCCCATTCCTTTAATATCTAATGCATATCATTTCAATCTTTGTAAGGAAACTCAGAGCAGGTTGAAACTGTATTATCTTCATTAGCTAAAATGGGCAGACTACTACTGAGTAATCACTCTGCTTGATACTCTGAACACCTAAACAAGGTTTATGGTCTCAAAGCATGAGGAGAACAATGCTAGGGAGAGCGTTTATTCTCTGTATCGATAATTCTTCCGACCTCTGCAGCATTACCTTATGTTCCACCTAGATGTGCAACAATTTCAATAAATATATCTACAGCTCTTCCTAGATCTGACTAGCAAGGCTATGCTTACAGACATTTAACTTACAATAGGCTACATGAATTCAAGATCAGCACCGGTGCCAAAATATGCAGACTCACATAGATGAGGTTCTCTTGATATCGCTTACGAAGATTGTTCAGGAAGGCAGTCTCACTGGTGTGAGAATCCAGAAGCACAAAGTCTTGCACCCCAACTCTATCCCGGGCTATGAGAGCCCCTTCCATGTTTGTGTCAGCGTTATCTTCCACTTCTTCTTTCTACAATGCAAAGATTATATGAAGATTTCACAGAGTTAGGAAAGAGCCGATAGTGTCCCTTTGAGTCAGTTAAGTCATGCCCGCTGCTCAAAGCCAAATCAACTTTGCACAGATCATTCCCAAAAGACATTTATCCAAGCTGTTATCAACAATTCTCGCAAAGATGGGAGTTTCACACCATGTGAGTTTGCACTCTAATATCTTTACAGTCAAGACATCTGAGGCTCATTACTATGATCAGAGAAGACGACTAAAGTTTCCAGGCAGCCCTCAATATTAGAATAGCCATTTGAAACAAGCCTAGCTCTGAAGATCCAGTTATGATCTCGGAGAGTTTATTAACTCAATTTAGACAAAGCAGTTTTGAGCACAAAGTTGGCAGGTAACAGTGGAAGATACCAGACAAATTGTTAGTAACACCTGCAACTACTTAACACAGATATAATTATGAAAATGGAGAATTACCAGATAAAGCTGCATTTGACTTGATCTTTAAGGGAAAAAAAAAATTGATCCTACAATACTATACTGAATAAGACTGCTTCGTTATTATTAATGCCTTCCACAAGCAGATCAAAGTCAACTTTCGGATTCGGGCAGCAGATGTCTCCACACACCAGCGAGAGATCTGTGCAGTAAGATGCTATTCCATCTGTTTGCTAGAACTGCAATTAGTGATTTGAAACAACAGTTACACCTTTATTGGCATTCCCCTTCCTCAAAAAGCTGAAGATTGCAAAAAGGAAGTCACTGACAAAATATCACAATTTCTTTGCACGCTGCACTCCTGACTATCATGCAAGTTGACTTTACATTGAAAATATTTCTCACTGTTGAAGATCAAGCTCATGTTTCATAGGCTATGCAACAATAAACTGCATGTTAACTATTATTTTTAAAGTAAATTAAGCTGAAAATTTCATGCTAGTAGATGTGCAAATAGGATAATCTTTATTCTCTAGTAGTAAGTGTGCCATAGTGGGTTTTTTAATTTGTATTAAACAAAGATTACCTGGTTAAGAGAAGACTTCCTACTCTAATGCATGAAATATATTACCTTCATTCCTGTCATGAAGAAAGTATTTGGAGTAACTTACCTTTTAGCGATTCCTAGCCTTTGTGAATTAGATGAGAGAAATTGGCTAAGTGATCATCAGTTGAATGTATACAGCAGTTCCTCACATTCAGGGATGTGCGTAAGTCTAGCATCTTTGCTATTCTCATTCTGCCCTTTATAACATTGGGTTTTTACATTGTGCTGCTCCACTGCTCAAGATGATCACATGTAAGATTTGGAACAAGCATTAAAAGGACAGTGGTGGCCAGTGCCACGTTGTTTTTTGCTTTTTTAGCAGAAGTTTTGCAAACTGTAAATAAGCACAGTGTAAAATGTTTATGCTAAATTTTGGCAAACCCTGACTTTGGAGTTGGGCTTTTGGGAAGAGCCTCTGTAGCACCAGCTGAAGATGACAATACTTTGGGCACTAAAGCTTAATGGATTTAGAAGCAGAATTTCACTAAAATGAAAAGCAAAGGACCCAGCCTCATAACACTCATGACTGAAATAAATCATTTAGGGAAGCTCAGAATAGTCAGCTCTCAAATGGGATTTTTAATACATTAGTCCCATTTTTAGTATTGGCAGTTCTTCAGATCAGTTTATTTCACTGAGAGAGCTGAGCTGTGTACATTTATGTTCAGCAGTAATATTACAATAGTGTTCAGGAGAGAAGAGGTTCTGACCACATATTATTTAAATCCTACCATAGTTTAAAAAACAAATCAAAACAAATAGCTATACTCACACTAACTTTAAGGACAAGTAATTACTTTTTTTGCCTTCTACATTCACTAACTTCAGTTGGTTGTGTTATTAGTTCCAGGTCCATCGGAGCTATCACTCTTCCTTTTTCCTGATCAATTGCATAACGATACTATCATCACTTCTAATCTCTGCTGTAGAGGTACCTATATTTTTTTCTTTTAATATTAGTAGCACGTTCTTTCTCCACTGCACATACCATATCTTATTCCTGTTTGTTTTGCTAGTCCTAAGCTCAGGTTCTATAAGTTTGCAAGACAGTATAAAGGATTATCTAGTTTCTGAAACTGATACTGTATAGATCCTACTACCTAGATGATGAAGAATACTGGAGGCAAGGGAAAAGACACACACAAAAAAAACAACCCACAGACCCCCCCAAACAAACAAATAATAACAAACATACACACCACCCTTCTATTCATTGTGCCTCACACATTATACACTGAATTTGATTTTACAAAAGTTGAAGCAGCTAAGGGGTGTTCAAACCACTAGTCATTACTACTTTCATTCTGAATCCCCTCCTCTAAACCAAGTAGCCAGTTCAATACTTGCTAATGCTGGTGTTTGCAGTAGCTGTGACATCTCCCAAAGGGATTACAGGTTTGCAAAGTCACTAAAAGACATGACAATACCACACTCTGAAAGACTGTTCTAACTGGAATAACAGTAATCCTTTCAGCTCTCTCTATTCTGGATTAATACAGGTGATAGGACATTCAGTCATACCTCATTTTGTATTGAGAATCTGTAGCTGCTTTGGTAACATCCAAATCAAGATCTATTCTGCAAAGACTTTAATCACTATATTGCAAATGGGCTGCTAGAGTAATCTATAAATTTCTATCCCGTCTGAGTAGTATTCAATATTACTTGGCAATACAATCTACAGATGCTTTCTTACTAAAAGACAAAGGGTTTTTAGAAAAAATACCTATCTGCTCCCCATAAGAGGCCACAGGATGAATATTCTGAATGACAAATATAAGTATACATTTCATAATCAAAACAAGAGTTTTGAAATAAACATTTACCTTCTCTCCTCTGCTTTTGCCCTAGCACCTTCTTCACTATTTAGTAAGCAAATTTCTGTCTTAATCATCTTGACTTTCTTGATCTTCATACAATGGTAACTGAGGTTGGAGCTTGGCCGCAACTAACGAGCGACGTGCCCCGGCTGGGAGGGCACGCAACTTTCCCAAGACCCCCACCAAGCCATACCAATGTTTCTTAGGCTTAGCAGGGCAGCTGTTTGTTAGCTCAAGGTCAAGAACAGAAGTGGCCATTACCACAGACCAGTAAAGACATCCATCTCTCAAATTAGCATGTTCAGACTGTAATAAAAGAGGATCCAATGACAGAGAATTAAAAGTGATCAAGCCTATGAAGTCAGGGTTGTTGGACGAGTTCTTAAATTTAAGCATGTCTTACCAGGTAAGAGGCATCTCTGAATTTAACTGCAGACCCCTTCTTGAAACGGAGGCCTACGCCTGGCTAGAACAGGGAAGATTCAGAAAAATACAAGTGCTACTAGTATAAAGAACTGCCATACTGGATAGGACCAGAGGCATTTTTAGCCCTTTATCCCACATCTCCAGCAGGAGCCACTAGCGCTTACATAGTGAGAGAACACAAACTCCATGTACATAGAGGGATCGTCTCCCACGTGTAATAGTGCACCAAGATCAGGGCAAACTTCAGCATTAGATGTTATACTGTGTTACTCCCAGCTATCCCACAGTTTGCTGCTAACACTAAGCTTCGCTGCAGGAACATGACCTCCCAAAACAATCTCCCGTTCAGTGGCTACAAAACATGCCAATGTTTCTCTCTAGTAAGCGATCAAGGTATCTATTCACGGGATATGTGGCAACAAATCAGAGTCAGCAGCCACCAGTACCAGACCATTGCCAACACATCTAAACTATTCTGTCCTGAATTAGACCTACCTGCACATTTTCATCCTATCACGGGCATTTGTTAGTGGTACCTAACTGCCAGACATTAAGGTCCAATCCCCGTGAGTTAGTGCACCACACTGGAAGTGCATTCTCTTCTGGAGTACCCCACACAACCTCTTTTAGGGCTTATTCCGTATGAACCCACTTACCTTTCTCTACACTGCTTTCTTTCAGCCTGCATAAGGTTTTCGAGTTATTCCTGATAATGTGAGTAAGAAATCACCAAATTTCTGTCCTAGGGTAAAGCAGTAGTTCAGCAGAATTATTACAAGCAAAAAGAATGCTTCAACAGCTTCAGTGCTTACAAAAACTATTCAATATTAATCAAAATAGGAATGTTCTGAAACCTGCCTTCCTCTGCAGATACCCCGGGTCAGGGCAAACAAAGAACTAAAAACTATACACTGAAAACTTTAAGCTAAGACTGACCTAAGGAAGTACAGAACTGAAGCCATATTTCCCCTTATTTTTTCCTCCTGAACAGTTGATACTCATTTTTCACTCTGATACGGGCATAACACAGTAGCTGCGTGACAAGGTTAACAGAGTTCATCATTTTACTAGCAACATTTAATATAAACAATGCCTGCTTGTACTTAAGGTGGATTGGTCATGCTGAACAAGAACTCAATACCAACTGGACAAGAGCATCTTACCTTCTTTCCAAGCCTACAAACATGAAAGAATAAGCCTGAAACCACAGTTGCTATCTAGCTGATCAGGTTTCCTTAGCCTAATTCTTTCACCAGTATGTTAATTGGTAAATGACACTCTGTTCTCTGTTAGACAAAAAAAACCTCTTTTCTGGGCTATGCTGTGCTCAGATTTTTCTCAGCATTTTGCTATTGTTGAGCCAAAGGCTGAGGTCAGCTAATTGCATTATCACAGCACTAGCTACCACCCTGTCCCCCACCCCAGTTCTCAGAGATTACTGGAAGTTTTGCACTCACCTAATGTCATCATCGGTAAGAGATACCTCAGCGGGATTCATCAGTACACATTACCCCAGCAAGACACTGCTGACTGCTCTTTTTAAAGGATTATTTTCCTTTCCTCATCATTTAACTAAAAGAGCCAGGAGATTTCTTTCTTGCCTACTGAGAAGCAAGCTCTATCAGAAAACCTATCCCTAGCTACAATGAGGACTTTTTCTTTTCCCACAAGGATTTGTCTATCAATGCTGAAAACTAAGACAAATTAAAAACCAGATCAAAACACAAATTCATGAGACGTGCAACTCCTGAAAAAGGGCTAAAAAGGTCAGGAGCAACAGACCAGTTTGCTCGACATAGTTTATAACAAAGAAACAAGACTTGGCAAGGAGGGGCTGCAACTTTTCTTAGAAACTTTGCAAAATGTTACTTATCTTTGCCAGATGTTCAGAACTCCAAAGTTAGTTCTTGCTGTTTCTTTGGTTTTAATACCATAAAACAGGAGATATTAATGTATAGAGGAAGAAAAGGATCAGTTATGATGCCACTGCTATTCTGGAAGCATTGAAAAATATGCTACGTACTACCCACGCAAATAAAAGATCTAAGCCTTAGGCGGACACTATCTGACGCAGCATATCTCTCAAGTGGTCTCATACCCATTTAGTCATGCAAGCTCCCTCAACTCTAGCAAAATGCCTCGCCAGTCACCAGACTCCAGATTTACTAGGTTCAGCTGTAAGGTCACACTTCCCACCATGAAATCTGAAAATCTTCTCGAGGCTCCTTCACTCACCTCCAAACTATCCCGACCTGCCAGAGCTGCTGGATTTCCTTAACACCACCCTGCAAATTCAAAAGTGATTTTACTTCAAAAACGTTTTTACTTTCTGCTTTGTGTTTTTTGTTTTCCTTCTTCCCACTCTACCTATATCACCTGAGCAGCAAAC